TTAAGGAATACTCGAAGTAATATCTAGAAAACAAAGATGTTTACATATATGTCGATATTTGAACACGTATAACTACAAGTTACATAAAGTTACCTTTAATGATATTTTATACAGCACTATGGTTAAGTGATCCGGAGAGTTCCATTTCAAAGTGACTTGTGTGCTCGAGTTCGCAACATATTGAATATCTAATACTTTTGTGGAAACTAATGATATTTATAAAATACAGATATTAGAAAAACATACTTATAATATATGAAATATATGTTTGTAAAAGTTGTTTACTGTACTTTAGCTATCATAAAAACTTACCGCTTCGTAATGTACGAATTTGAGTAAGGAACAGGTAATTCCTATGTTTTATGATTGTATGAGCAAATCGCGGATGAATTATAATTACGTTAAAAAGAGTATTTGATGGTAAATGTGACACTTCATGGGGAAAAGTGNTAACTGTTGAGTTACTAATATTCTCGCCTGTATTTTCATTTTGAAGAGTTACATAATACCAATGTGCTGGACATGCAAATATTTGCTAGTGTACGACAAAAAAAATCAAATTTATATTAATTTGATACATACTACATTTAATACATATTCCATTAAATATAAAATTATTGTTAGATAAATAACAAAATATATACGTACATTCAAAGTGTTTTGCCAATCAATAATTATACTGTTTTCCGTAGGCAGTAGGTTGAAAGTTTGTACCGCTATATGACAGACCAACAAAACATCCAATTAGTATAAAAGAGAATACATAATATACAAGAAATTTAATAAAACTGTGTATTATGATAATATCTAATACTCAATAGTGTGATTACATATTTCTCTTTGTACTACATGTTTTTTTCTATATGCAGGTGATACAATTGTAAACAAAAATAATAATTTCATTGTTATCATATTAGTTATGTTACGTCCTGGACTTTACGGTCTCTTTCTGGTTGCAACAAGACATAAAGTAGCTTTAAAATGTGCACCTTAAAATTAATTTTAAATAACATTCCTTGAACAAAGAATAGAGGACCCATTGAATTCAGAGAAACACACCGGTATCGCAAATTTTATAAACAAGTCTGACTGGAGAAATTGAAACTACAATTAATAAAGAAACTTAAGGCTCTCTTGAAGTAATAACTAAGAAATGAATAAGAATAAGATCATACGAGCCGCTTTGCAGGATGTTATGCTGAAATGTTCTATTATATATATGTACACATACTATATATATATGTCCACATGTAAATTTTTACACGTGTTTTTTGAATTAAAATTTTAAATCTTAAAATCATACAGTATGCTATACTTGCATCTGATGTATGAAATTTTTTTTTTTCGCAATATTTTAAAATTAGTTCGGGGGGTATTCGGGGTCTTTCATACATGAGATGCAAGTATAACATACTGTATGATTTTAAGATTTGAAATTTCAATTCAAAAAACACGTGTACAAATTTACATGTGAACGTATATATGTATATGTATACATACTACCATGATCAAAAAATAACCGGAATTTTTAATTTAAACCTCGCGGGCTTATCGGTTTAGAATTCTGTTGTTTGTGTCACGTTGGCAGCACTGTTACGGACACCCATGCCAAGCTTCTGCTTATCAGCTGTTCATTTACCTTTAT